CTTGGTGATGACCTCAAACACCAATATGGTTTGTGGTGACAATAATATCAACACCTCCTATCGCACAACATTAAGCAACGACAATTCCTTCTAAGGGCGGCGGCAACACGAAATCGAACTCTGCCATAGTGGCGGTCCGCCGTCAACATTGCAACAATATAGACAGATACACGAGAGCAATGTTGGAGCAAACTGCATTAGAGGAATTTTCTCAAATCACCGGTCATGACTGGTGGCAACCTTGATTTTTTATTACAGTAAGAGCACAAAACAACTGCAACAACATTCTTTGTAACCTCGACAATCCAATCATTTCAGTAGACAACTTGCTCAGACCGCCAAAGGAGCTACTATAGTCTCAACAGAAAGCATCTGGCATCTACTCGAGGCAACCGCAACGTCAAAAAAAAAGGGGGTACTAACAACTGTAGTGGGATTAGGATGGCGGCACCTGCCCCTGTAGGGATTCTGTAAGAGTCTGAGTCAAGGTAAGTAATTCCTTCCACGAAACAACAACCTAGACTTATGAAAGGGCGGTGGACCAACAACAGTCCTCGTGTCACTGACAATACTCAGCACCAACAAGATTGCAACAACAACAGTTGTCCGCTGTAGCCGAAGCCAACAACATCAATACCATGAATGGTATTGCAGCCCCAACCCAACAAACTCCGGTCACAGCGTAAGGATCAGTAACTCTGCTTACTACGTACCGCCACTCTACGCAACTCTAAATGACCTTCCCTTTCTTTTGTCTGAAGGCACTAGGACCCGAACATGGATCTGTATTCCAATAGTTTAGGGGTGTACCAACTAAGCTAGGCCCATTGGTTTGGCACAATCCACCATGGACGGCTGCACAATCACCACAAGCAGTAGCATTGTCACAAGCAGCAAGCTTATCATGACCTACAACGATAGCCACAAATGACCACATCCACCAAAGTGTGCAAACGAGAATGAATCTTTTGCTAAGGTACACTACCGATTCCACTGCCCTTCAACCACTTCCCCCATATGTAGTATAACTTGTGAGCCCGACTGCATTCCTCACTCTAGTCTCTTTCTATCCCTCTATCCCAACCAACATCACTATCACTGTTGCCTGGTCAATAGTCGTTGAATTCGACTTTTCCCCCATGCGAATCAGTTGGGACAGATAACCACAGTACCTTCCACCATTATGCAGGCTCCATAATGGTCCCTAACATATGATGCATCTGGTTGTTTAGTACGACCGGATTTAGTCGAAGATTGGAAGGATAACTCTATCACTCTGACAACGAACGCGGCTGCGCACGGTAACTAGGACGAGTGCAGCCACTACCACGATGGTGAAGCCATCAAGAATGGTTATGCTAAGACTGCGGTCATGGTCGTTGTGGAGACCGGACAATCTCGATATCTGGGCAGCAAACCATTCTTCATCACGATAGCGAGCACAATCCAATAGCAGTCGAGGCGACCTCGAATTTCAAGGAGGATGGCGATCGTGAGTAAGATCATTCACGACAAACGGTGTTGCGTAAGGACGATAGGACGAGCGCTCGCAGCATAAAGACAACCACCAAGAAAAAGAAGGTCGTGGATTGCAAATGGCGAGCACGGGAAGCACCGCCAGAATCCTGACTATGAAGGCAACGACATTCAACAATTTGGCCCGCTCCGCTGTTCGCCAAATGTGCGAATGCCAAAATGAGAATGAATATCCCGCTAGGACATGGGCGGATTCACCACCATAAACCAAATCGCTACAAAACGCCGCAGCGGCAGGGTGCTCACACCAGGGACGGAAAACGATGACCAGGAAGGCAACACAATGTCCAAGCCACCATGATGATCACGAAGAGCAGTGCATCGATAATCACCTCCACCAGGACCACTAACGTCACCCCGACGGGTAACATACACTTGGCGGTGATAAAAAAATGGCCTCCGCTGATGAAGACGATCACACGACTTCGGACAACACCATGCTAACCCATGTTGAACGCAAGAGCACAACTACCTCCAACGTCTCTACAAGGTACTCCACCCCACTAGAAGCGATTTTTGCATCACGCTTCGACTTGCAGTGTGCGAGAAGCCCAAAATCGTACCTTCGATGTCACACATCTCTCTGCCTTCATCGTCTTCATCAACTCCTCGTCCGTTGTTATCTCCTTTCCTCCGTGTTCTCACTCCTCTTCGCTAAACCGAAACGAGTTGATCAGGGTTTTCGTAGGAAATCAACCCGACTATCGTCGGGACTATCGTCGGGTCCCTCCGCTTTATGGCTTCGCCCGACCCAATCCTTTCTATGTGCTTTACCTTCACTCTATCCAAGGTCCGAATGAATCTTCCCTTAATAAGGCGCAAAATTTATAACAGAGAAAAAGAAAATGACAAAAAGAAAGGTACCAAAACTAAACCTGAGTCAACACTAACCCCCTCTATATATCGTTCAAATTTTAACAGATGTTCTGAAGGACTAGGCCGCGTGCACGGCCTTGAGATATCATTACCGAATTGGTCAACCCAAGGTAAATCAGAACTGTGGTATTTCACTTGTCTCCTCCAAGTGGAGTTCGAACTTGAATCTGTATTTTAACAGTTCATGGGTGTACCAACTGAGCTAAGCCGGTTGGTCCGAGAACCAATCCTGGAACCGGTGTCGATACCAATCCGACCCCAAAAAAAAAGAGACTTTAAATTAAAAAATAACCAAAAATAAATAAAAAGGAAGATTGAAACAATGGAGGAAAGGGGGAGGGACTGCTTGCACCTCCCCAGTCCCATTGATCGGACCCGTGGTTGGGACCGTCTGCAAAATTGAGTGGGATAGCCTCACCAGACCCTCAATCCCCCAGTTTCCTTTAATATGTTTCGCCACTCCCATATCGTCGACTGCTGGTCTCGATCCCTAAATCTCCTTGATGAAAATCCAATACCGTAACCAATAGTGCTAGCCCCCCAAGGATGAGATAAGTTGTCGTGGTTCCAATATAATTGGGTGTCGTGCAGCACGTGGCCCTACCGACACACACACACACATTGGCCTACTAACTAAATCCACTGTCGCCGAACGCCGGTAATAGGGAAGTCGCTCCCGTGCGTGCACACGCGTCGTCGCCAAACGTACCAACCAATAGAAAAAATAACTTAATCCTTATTTAATCAAGAACAAACTCTCGCTTTACAACTATCAACAAAAAAAAAAAATCACATGTGCCTTCAAAGTTGCGTGCCAACACTCTCCCCACCTTTCCACCTGAATACATAGTTAGTCAAAGATAGAGACTGGCAGCGTCTCGCGCAACACACTTAATTTTTGAATCAAATCTCTCTTTCTGTCACTTGCAAAAAACAGGGCGGATACCCTTGTAAGGGTATTCACACTAACAACGTATCGCCGTACGATCCTACGTACGCCCCCCCTACCTCCGTACTACGAGCCGTATGTACAAATTTTGGCGCCCGTCTTCAGGGCCTTCCCGAGGGGGGCTTTGGAAATTGCAGGTTTGGGGAGGGGGGGGGGGGCTGTCAGGGGTTACCCCCCAATTCAAAAAAAAAAATCACTTTTTTTTTTGTTGGAGAATAAAAGATAACTCGATTGATTGATTGATTGATTAACTGACTGATTGGATGATTGATGACTGATTCAAGTTGGTTGATTGACTCATTTATTGATTGGTTGATTGATTGATTGGTTTGATTGATTAACTGGTTGATTAACTGATTGACTCATCATAACAAACAAAAGAAAAGCAAAAGAAAATGGGTGCAAAGATGAGATCGATTGATTGATTGACTGATTGACGGTTTGATTGATGATTGGTGATTCATCGGTAGACTAATTGCTTGAATGCTTGATTGACTAATTAATTGATTGATTGATTGATTGATTAAAAAAAAAAAAAAAAAACACCCGCAAACACAAACGTATGCACACAAAGACACACACACGAACACACACACAAGCGCACACATACACACACACACACACGCATGCACACACACACAC